CCTAAACAGTAATTGATTTACATTTACTACTATATTTTTCTAGAACTATACGCACTATACGTATCACTATACGTATATATAGTATTATACATATAGTACTGATCTGCCCATCTCTAGGCAAGACACAGATTTACGATAAAATGGAACCGTATCTTCCTGATATCAAGAGAGAGCATTTATGTAAGGAGACTCAAAAGGCTAGAAATATTTATACATTGTTTAAAGAAATAGGAATAGATAAAATCAAGCAAGTTACATATAGCGCTGATGCTATTTCTGCATTTATGTAAGGAGACTCAAAAGGCTAGAAATATTTATACATTGTTTAAAGAAATAGGAATAGATAAAATCAAGCAAGTTACATATAGCGCTGATGCTATTTCTAGTTTAACAGGTATTCAAATACAAAATGTAATAAATGTTTTTACTGAAGATTTAACTAAATCTCAAAAATTGACTGCACATGATCTACCAGAACTTCTCATAAAAAATGAATCAGATATAGATACTCTTATCCACCTTTTACAGCAAAAATTTAAATATCTAAAGAAAAGCTAGAACAGTGGAGATCTAATATTGCTTTCGAATTGCGGGATAATTCTAATTACTGAAAAAAAAAGCGTGAAAGTATCGTCGAAGCAGATTTTCTAGAACATAAGCAAGACTTTTGAGTCGACACTGGGTATTCCTACCACTCCATATAAAAAAGAACTAAAGGTGCAATCTTTAGCCCTTATTGAATATGGGTAACTTTACCGAGTCCTTGGCACCATTTTATATATATTACAAAAAGGTTAACTAACTTGATTTGTTAAGTTTTTAGCGTGAGCTAGCTTATGCAGAAATCGTGGGTGCAATAACAACAAAACTTTATTAGTCTTAAAAAAAATTTTTAATTCGGTAGTTACTATACAATTTAAATCGAAATCAAATAACTGTCAAGTCGTAGTATAGTTTTATATTCTGATACTATGTTTGATCATCTTAGTCATATCTTTTGTGTTTGATTTAACTGGTGTTATAAATGTATTTGTTACAGTATTGGTGAGTGGTGTGTGATATTCATCATCATTGTCATCGTCAAGAAAGATTTTTAAATTTAAATCATTCTTCTTTTCAACAGCATCCATTGTAGCAATAATAACAGATCGTGCATATAAGATCTCTTTCAACACCAGTGCAAGAGGTTTTGAATTTGTTAACCTGCCAGAAACTTCTTGAATGTTATTACGATTAATCCGAGTGATATATCCGAAGGGGTGATCTCCAGTTAAAACTTGTAATCTATTTGCACCATGAAGTATTCCTATTACTTTCAATTTTTTTACTAGATCTTCTTTCATTTTGCATTCAATAATCAATTTGTCAAGCATATCCTTTAGCATCTTTGATATTTTAAGTGAATCAGTCATATATTTTGTACCATTTATCTCCTCCCATTTCCTGCCAGCTTCAACTGCACCGAATTCTAAACGATTTCTACGCAACCTAAATATACCGTCTCCTTTTCTACCAATGTTTTTACGATTATTGATCTTTCTATGAATATTCTTCCTTTCACTAGAAGCGAAGCTCATTCCTTCCCCACGAATTAAGTCAATATTTAAATCATCAACTACAGGATCTATAATTCGGCTCCAGACATTCATTCCAAACCATCCTTCTAGCTTTAAAGAATCAAAACAGATCTTCATCCATTTCCCATAAACGCAAAATTCCATGATATCCATTGTTAATAAAATCAAGACAGAAATGAATGCTTCGATTGTATTCTTCACCATCAGGTATAAATGGTTCAAAGAGAAGTGATCGCAATTTTTTAATATCATTACGGTATATTTTATTAATAACTCCTTGTGACAAGGGTCAAGTTTTGGTCTTTCTACTAATTCAAGATTTTTGATTTCTTTCCATTCGTCTGGTGTAAATAAATTTTTTGTATCAACATCTGCATCATTTATTATGAAAGAATGAAGGTATGATTCTCTATTCAGATTTTTTGCAAAATCGTAAATAACTTTTTCAACTTTTCGGCCAGTTTTCAGTGTCCACATATAGTTAGGGTCCATTAATAAATAAGCTTCTTTGAATTTTTTCAAACTTTTCTCAACGGATGCCATATTTAACTTGTCATCAGTAAATTCGTCCTCAGTAAATTCGTCATCAGTATATTCATTATCAATAGATTGATCATCAGTGTAATCGTCATTAAGAAAGGTTTCGATATCTCCACACTCCACATCGGGGATTGGATTATTTTCAGATTCAGTTTGGCCACTTGATTTCATCTAGATCATGACAAAAATGTCAATAAGTTATTAGTTGCCTTGAAGAAATTATTACAGAGAAACACTTGGCCTCACCTTTTTGGTTGGACGGATTGCAGATGTTTTTTCTTTAATGTTTGGTTGTTTATTATTATTGGAACTTTCCTGAAAAAAAAAATATTGATCTCACCATTCAAATTCTACAATAAATACAAAGTCAATTAATGAAGGAGGCAACATGAGCTTACATTTTCCCTTCTTTTATATGAACTGGAAAGTTCTCGATAATCCAGGATTGTCCTTCCATTGTCATTCTAAGAATTAAAATTGTAGCTCATTAGGAACAAATCACAAAATAACAAGTCATTAGCTAAAAAATGTGCACCTGCATCTTTTCCATCATCAATTTTCTTTTGTTTCCAATTATACTAGTATGCAAGTTTAATTCTTTGCCTCGGTCAAGAATATAATTTAACTAATAAAAGGGTATTAATCATAACTTATATAACATAAAATATCACAACAATCAAAACTTACATCTTCAGTTTCAACCTGTAAAGTTTTTAATTCATTTTGCGCTTTAACATACTGGAGATCTTGCTGTAAATTCTGGGTTCTATAATCATTCCAGAACTTCTTAACTTCCGGAGAATGCTTGATCTTCTAGAAAAGTATTCCAATTTTAAGAACACAGCAAAAATTAATGATTAATGATTATAAAAACTGTGCAATGTAAAATATGTTCCTGTACAATAATACATCTCAGTCTCATGACAAACTGCAACGAGCTCAGCGACTCAACACTGGGTTGACTCAGCGATCACCCAATGTGTTACAGCAATAGACTCAGCGATCCTACCAAGAAGTCCCAATCAACTCAGCGATTGATTGTGCTCATTATTGCAGAACTCAGCGATTCATACAAGGCAATAAGAGCAGGAATCTTGGCCTGTCAGCAGTACTAAGATGTAAAAAAAGTTTACCTTCCAGTTGTTGAGTGACTCTTGTGCTCTTTTTGCATTTGTATTATTTTCATCAGTTGCAAGTTCCTGGAGAAAATATTTGAATGCACTATGTTCTCTCTTGCTATCTAAAAACTGTTGTGTTTCGGATCTCCATTTTAAGAAACCAATAAGTGACCACTTAGACGGTTCATTGTTTTGAAAGTAGTTAAGTCCTGAAATATTTTCCATAGTTTTCATAAATTGTTTTATTGTGAAACTTTTAGGGGTATTCAAAGTTGTTCCTGTTCCTTGTTACACAGTCAAAATTAAATTTTATTGGCTGATCAGAAGGAACAAATTTGTTGTTTCTCCTTTGTTTCCACTTCCAAATTTGGAAACGATTTTTAAAAAAAAATAAAAAATAAAAAATAAAAATAAAAAAATGAAAACAAGAAACAAGAATATCATAAAATAGCTTCTACTAATAATAATGTACAACAGCCTTGTCCAGTTCAAAGAGTAGCTTCTATAATGACATGCAACAACAACAAAGCATTTATCTGGTTCAGGTAACTTCTACTAATAATAATGACATGCAACAACAAAACTTTCATCAAATTCATCCAATTCAGTTATTTCCTGAAATAGATTTAGAAACAATGCCTCTTCAATTCTTTCATAGTCGCGGGACATTGCAGATCAAGTATCATTCAATATAAACGTTACACAAATAAAATTATTATCATCCGCTTCAAAAAAAAAATCTCCGTTTTTCATGTAGTAAGCAATTTTCAACCATAATAAAATTTTTAGAGCCAGACTGGAACTTTTAACAACAGTTAAAAGAAAAGGCTAGCTTAAATATTGGTTACTCTACACCAGGTCGGAAGCATTTCTTTTATTCACACTTATTTTAAGATTATCGCTCAACCAGTAAGCAGACTAAAGCAAATTCAGCAGCAACAGTTGTGCCAAACTGTTCCCTATAAAGTTGCTTATAACTACTTGAAAGGTTGTGTTAGAAAAATTTTGCTTTTAATTATAAGGGACTGATTTATAAGGTTATTAATTTATTTAGAATATTAA